AAACCGAAGGCAGGGTGCATTAATAGAACTGCTATTTATCTCATAGTTAAAATCGTCAAAACCATCGAGTAAACCAGTTTGTGTCAGAGGTATGAAATTTTCTTCACTATTCTATCAATCTCTTTATTGATTTTATTTGCGAAGAGAAAATTTCCATTTGATAATTTAAGGTCTGCCTGGAGCACCGGGTCCACAAGGGCCGAAAGGACCAAGCGGACAAAGGGGAAGACGTGGTAAACGAGGATTTCGAGGATCTCCTGGAATACAAGGTCCACCTGGAGTACCAGGTCCGCAGGGACCGAGGGGAGTGCCAGGAAGAACGCTCTCTGGAAAATCTTCATCGATTATCCATTCACTTGGTGAGTATTTAACCAGAATAAAATATAAAACCAACACGAACTATTCAATGGTAAATACATGTAAAATATACAAACTCATGTACTTTTTAATCTTTTTTGAAAGCGTTTCCAAAAATAACCAAAAGACCTCCATCTGTTCTTGTCACCAAAGAAGGCGATAATGTGGTCATTCCGTCCATAGCCTCTGGTTTTCCTAATCCTAGAATCTCGTGGTACAAAGACAACAAGAAAGTGGACGAGCGATTATATGTAACTGGTGCTCTACGAATAAGCAATGTCAAGTTCGAAGACCATGGGGTTTACTTATTGAAAGCAAAGAATTTCATTGGTCAAGCAACAGCGAAAATGAAGCTTGTTGTCAATGGTAAAGTCGAAAACAAAAACAAAATTCTCCAATTTTCAATTGGGTTTAAAGAGGGACGTATCTAATACAAAGAAGGCAATGAGTATTTTAAAAAGAGAACCATAGCCTTAAGTTTATGTTTCGGCGATCATCGTCTTCCTCAGATATGAGAATTTCAATTTGACTAATTTTAATTTATGTTTTAGAAACATTTCACATTTCTGATCTTTCTTTCAAAGACTTTAAATTTACAAAACTCTTGGTTCATTGAAATTATTGATAATAAACTGGACTAACTATTCTGAAGGAGCAAGGTGATGCTATTATGATTTTTGTGGACAATTATTCATGTAACATTTTCTTCAAAATAGTTGCTCCACGATTCGTGATTCAACCTCCAGATTACCTCGCTGGTTATGAAGACTGGAACACAACCATCACTTGCAATATATTTGGGTTTCCTCCTCCGCGGATCGAATGGTCACGTGCACAGAAAACCATGCCTAAAGGACGCCATATAAAAACTGGTAACCGCCTTATAATCATGAATACAAAGAGAGATGATAAGGGACCCTACATGTGCAGGGGAATCAATAACCAAGGGAACGTGTTTGGCATGATAGTGCTTCATGTTCATTCTGTCAGTAAGTAGCAATTGAATGTCTTAATCAATTTCTAGACGAAAAGCTTGATCAAAGAATATAAAAATTGTGTATTTGGAATAACACATATTTAATTTAAATTATTAGAGAATTAGCTCTTGTTTTGAAGATTTTGACAATAATTATGATATTTCCAGTTGCTCCTATCATCGTACAATCCTCTCCTAATAACGTGACCGTATATAAAATCTTGAGCCGCRTYAAATTAAACTGTTCAGCTACTGGATCACCGCTGCCAACGATCGAGTGGAGCAAAGATGGCCGACCTTTATCTGTAAACACTACAGTTCGCCAGACCAATAAAGAAACTATAGGCGAGTTGGTCATTGATTCGTTCATGCCTCAAGACCAAGGACTATACAAATGCTTTTTTAGAAACTACGAGAATGGAACGGACGAAACTACAATACAAATCTGTAAGTTCAAGAACGATTCTACCAATGTAATGTAGGCCTAAGTCTACAAAACCAGTCTTTGTTTAGGAACAATAAAAGTTTACTTTAGGGCATTAGGAAATGAAAACATTTACACCATAACCACACACAGATTGCAACCAACAATATATCACAAAGAGTCCAAAAATTCACAAAAATATAGGATAATTTCTTTATTGTTTAAGCCCTAATGAGCTGTGGTGATCCTGGAAATCCCCTGAATGGCTATCGCACTGGCAATGAGTTCTGGGCTGGAAATATGGTAGTTTATACTTGTGATCCTGGTTATTACTTGGTGGGACCATCCAACCGACTTTGTCTGGAAAATGGTGCATGGAGCAACTCCATTCCGTCATGTAGGTTTCTATCTTTTCATATCACAAATTTCCCTTTACAGGGGTATATTTTTCTTTCTCATCAGCTCGTTATGATTTCGTGATCCGAAAATTACTGTTTTATTACGTGGGCTTCCTGTGGAAGCTCACATCTTTAAATGCAAGTGGACGTTTCGTCGTCGTAGACGTGAATAGTACGCTTCAAATTGATAGCGCCTGCGTTGCAGATGGTCTGCAGTCTCGGTTTCCATGGGGATGTCAAACTAAACTAATCCGCGCTTTGTTTTCATTTTTAACTTGTATTGTTCAGTCGGCCTCGTGCCCTGATCGCGATATCTAGCTTCACTTTAAGACTACTTTATAGCTACTGTGATCTGGTTTGCGACCAAGAAAAGCAATATGATCAAGAAAATGAAGGAAATCAGCCCTAGAACGCTGATCTCACTTACAAATTTTACGGATTTGATCTTCTGATAAGCTCTACATTTCTTTCTTGTTGATGGATTTTAACACTTCTTTAAGACCTTACCATCTTCATCACAGCGCGCAGATCAGAATCTATTATCACGACTTGTGAGCCACGTTATGCATTCCATCTCATGTACCACTGCTTTTGCAAAATCAACATGTATTTCTACTCTTCTTATATATAGATATATAATGGGCCGTTACTGACATCACCAATTTTCATCAAAGAAAATGTTTATCCGGACTATCTAGAACAGCATGATTCTTCAGGGGTTAAATAGTGTGAGCTGGGTCTGTGATTCTAAAGAAACAGTTTGTGTAAAAAGATAAATCCAACACCGTAAAAAAGTAGGTGAAACAACTCACTGACGTTTCGGACGTTAATTAGTCGGAGTGAAGAGAGGTTTTCTCTAAGTTTTTTCACATACTTTTTTTACGATATTAAATTTATCTTTGTACACAAATACATCTAAACCAAGTGATTCCTCTTTCAGGTCGTCGTCTTTGTCCTGAAGTGGCTCCTCCAGACAATGGATACATTGTAGGTGATTTACCGGTCAACAGCACTCTCACTTTCCATTGTAATTCCGGTTACAGACTCTGTGGAAACCGCTATTTGCTTTGCGATTCCAACACAGGAAACTGGACAGATTTGAAAGGAAACTTTACCATTAAAAAAACATACTGTGAGTATACGGTCATTAATGTCATTCATGTGCACCAATGCATGCAGGGTACGCGAGACATACGTTGCGAAAAGAGGGGCAAGCTCTACGACAACGTGATATATTTTCTCCGTCCCTCCACCTTCCTTTTTTTTAATATTGAGTGAAAGCACAGAGATACGTATCCATCACATGAGTGAAAAGCACTAACTAGGCGTCTTGGAAAATATTCAATTTGTTGTAATGAATGTTTTGTTCCTACAATACTAAAATACAAATTTAGTTTTGAACAAGCTGTAGCTTGCAAAACATTCAACAGCATCCTGACTCTTTTGAAGATCCCAAGCAGTCAGTGTCAAGGCAAAATTTGAACCCTGGTCTTCACCAAAGTACGACGACCGGGTTTCGTAAATATTGATGTCCATGTAGAGGAATGCCGTAAAATAAATATACCGTACATTAGTGCTGGATCAGTTTGATTTCCTCTAAATTAGATATCATTAAATGACAGTGTTGATCCTTGATATTATCAATCTACTTGTTCTTTGAAATTAAAAGAACTAGGTGAGGTTAGTGGGAGAGAGATAAAAAAAAACATAATCCGTAAGTTGTTCTTCTTGCTCCTTTAGAAAACAATAAACATGTTGAATCTCAATTTAAAATTGAATTTTTTCAAACATTTTCAGGCTATATGAAGTATTATTCAAATATTCTAAAAAATCGAGCAGACTACTACAATTTGATGAGAGAGTGGCTGGCTCCAACGAAATGCATGCCAGCAAGATGGGTACCATGCTATCAAAGCAGACTTCACGGATGGTCCAGTAAGACATTCCACGCAAATTGTGATTATCAAGGCCCGACTATTACAATCATCAAAGTAAACAAATACATATTTGGAGGCTTTACAGACGTCAGCTGGCGTAAGTATTCCAGTTGTTGATCTTTGCTATATTCGGGGGTTAACACAGAACATCCATCACATTGGTACAGCTTTTTTATGCTAACAATAACATATTATAATTGTTTTCTTTTTTAAGATTCCAAAGGAAGTTGGAGCAAATCAGTCAACTCGTTCCTGTTTTCATTCGTAAACAAAGATAACTTGAAGCCATTTAAAATGAAAGTTTTCAAATCGCAGTATGCAATTTATGGACATAGCAGCTGGGGACCATTCTTTGGAAATGACATGGTTATTAGTAATAATGCTGGTAGCAGCACAAACTCATGGACGAACCTTGGACWTAGCTATGTACTGATTAAGGGCTACACATATGGATCAACTAAAGCAAAGAACCTTCTTGCAGGATCGTACTGGTTTCAGCCAGACGAGGTCGAAGTGTTTCGCCAAGATGGTTTAGAGGTTTAGGTGAAAGAAACTCTAACAAAACACAGGGATCCCACTTAATATATCGATGCCGCTTTTAACACATACGATGTTTACAGGAAATAGACCTGATCGGCTAAGGCGCTGCTATAAACGTTTCCATCCAATTCAAACTACCCGGGAGTAAGTTTTATTGTTCGTTGTATTTTCATTTCACAGTGGAATTCTTAGAAACAAAAGTTCTTTTTCCCACAGAATTTGATTCGTGTGGTAACGAACATGGAAACGCGTAACCGATTAGCCTCTATGTATTTTAGTTGTTATACGTGGGTAATTTGCATATTTGTAGTAAAATGTATGGAGCAACTAGTTATCTTTTGATATTTCCTCAATTTTTATAATGTTTATTTCTCTCGTTTGATATCAAATTACATAGGCATAGATTCAAAGTAGTAAAGTATGTATATATGACATCACCGCAAGTAAAAATGTCCTTCTAATAGAAAGAGATCTTGAAACGGTTAAACAAACGTCAAATATTCTTGTTTAATAGTTAAAAAAGCATTGCTAATGTTTAGCGATTAACATAGTGTAATTCAATGATTAAGCGATTAATTTTGCAAATACGGCACTATGTATCAAAATATACTGTATTTAATAAACATGACCAAGTCACATTGAAAGAGCTTTGTTTTCTCTACAGAAGGCTGAAGGCCAGTAGAAGTAAGACTTACTGCATATTGTGCTCGTCCTCGCAAAAACATTACAACGCCAAAAACGAAACTCTGGGACCTGCGGGACACCACGTTAAATGACAGAGCAATAAAATATCATTCATATGTCCTGTTCGTTCTATACGCCCGTTCTATGTGCCCTCGCCCGCCGCTCGAGATTGTAATTCCAATACAACACAGGCGCTCATGTTGTAAACTTTACTTATCGTAAAATGTTTTAATGTCCAGAGTTGCTGAAAAAGTTTTTAAAAAGAGCGACCAACACTATTACGGGAAAGCGCGCAAACAGAGGAGGAGGCTATGGACTAGAAGTGACATGTGATAATCCTTTAGTAATGAATTTTTGATAAAAAATCGAAACTGAAGAAAGAAGGCCATAACACAGTAATTCAGCTCCATGTATAGTGCTCCATAATGTTGTAAGTCTTATCATTCACAAGCTTGTTAAACTGACCACAGGCTTACCAAACTATCCAGAAGAGTCGGCTCCAGGCCTTATATGGCGATTATCGGCCGAAAGCCGTTGAAATCTCTTCAAATTTAGGCCATTTTCAACATCGTTATTTTGGTTATTTTGGGGGGTTATATTCTGTTTTTTTAGTTCAGAAATAAACTTTAATGCTTTCTGAATGTGGATTTGTGGTTCTTTTAGCCGTGCAATGCGTTTTTCATGGGTAAATGATCGCGAGCCCCGGTGAAGTAAATCCCCACAAGGCTGGCAACTCCAGCCCGCCGAACTCCAAAAAATCGCCAATTCGACTCACTTAAACCTCAAAATCGGGTCGAAAAAATCGCGCCAAGCTCTTGAAATTTTGGGAAATTAACCGYAGATAAACACTTCATTCCCTCCTGAAATATCAAAATCACAGCTAAAACAGAACAGAAATAAATCGGTCCCGAAGTTCAAACTTTTGCTTTCGTACCATGAGCTGACCAAACCGGTGTCTCCTCGGCATCTCAGGAATGCAAAATGTCACGCTAGTAATACATATTGATTATCGATACAACACAAATTCCTGCTTTTTCTTGGAACATTTTTGAAGTAAAGAAAGATTTAGAAGTTTCCGCTTTTTATAGAGTGGCAAAGTTGTGTCCTTCGCAAAGTTGTATATTTTTCGGACTAACTCACTAGTCTATCAAGGCTTGATCTTCTTGTGCTTATCTCATGCTTATGCTCAGTAAGAACGGGACTGCATAGGCATAAGCATAGCCTGGTACCGAAATAATACGCTTGTGCGCATGCTCAATGTCTTATGCTTATGTCGAGCCTGTTCTCACAGGCGCATATGATTCTCATGCTTGTGCTTATGCTATGCTTATGCGCTAGTGAAATCCACGCTTTAATAACAAGAAATGCGGAAACATATATATTGGTGTTAGAAATAATGGAGAAATCTGTGGTGTTCGTGTCAAGAGAAAAGAGGTTAGCAAAATAGACCAAAGTCTTTTATCTATCTTTGTTGTTTATTATCTGAAATAAATCTCTGTGAGCTTTTGTGAGCTTCTTTACACATGAAGTCCTGTGTGGTTTATCAAAATATTATTAGCAAAATAGACCAAAGTCTTTTATCTCTCTTTGTTGTTTATTATCTGAAATAAATCTCTGTGAGGTTTTGTGAGCTTCTTTACACATGAAGTCCTGTGTGGTTTATCATTGACCTTTAATTCTCAACCATTCCCATGAGATTCAAAAGATAAAAGATCGGCGGCCATGTTGGAGGAAAAAACAATACACTCTTATGCGAATTCCTTTTCGTATTATTTTATGGTCTATAATCTAGACTATATTGCGCTATTTAGCGCTAGATTTGA